TGGGGTTTGTACAATTGTTGAAGGACCAAAATGAGGGTTTAACCTAAAAGATAAGAAAGGGTTATATTTCATTGTGCAACACAAAATAAAACATAAAAAAGTCTAAAATGTCTAAAATGTCTTAAAGTTAAATTAGGACAACTAATGTTGAATGGAAGGAAATAACAAATAGGATTTATCTAATTTGTACCCTTAGAGCATAGATTACGAATGTATTAATTGGCTTTTTTTTTTATTTGTTATTATAGATAAATAAAAATTGACTTTAATTTTATGGCAAAACCCCTAAATTTACTCTTTAAATAAGAGAGCAAAGATAGTTTCACCCCTAAAAAAATGTAGGGATAAATTACTCTTCTAAATTATTGATTAAGACAAATCATTCATTATTTTACATATAACATCATCACATGTTTAACTTTCTGTTAAAAAATGCTTAGATGGCAAATGAATTTCTGACCTATGATGATATCACATATTAAATAATAGGTGATTTGTCTTGATTAATAATTTAAAAAAGTAACTGTCCCAACTCTTTTTTTAGGAGTGAATATGTCTTTGCCCTTAGATAGAAAGGTAGGGACATATTTAGGAGTTTCATCCATTTTTATTAACCATCCAATTTAAATTATTCACTATCATTAATTTTTAAAAAATTATAATTAATGCATCATTAAAAATACTAATTGGACAAACCTTAACAAATAACCTTCAAGGTTCGAAGTTGTAGTCTATAGCAAATTAATGGGCTAAAAGTGGACCCAGAGAGTTATGTGCCGCAACATATGGTCCATCATTTTCAACTTAACCATATTTGGGAAGAAGGTATGAGTTTATATTTTGAACAAAAAGAATTAATCCTATCAATAAAATTTTAATTTATGATGATAATATAGTATTAAATAAGTAGATGTATATTATTTTATGTATTAAATTTAAATAAAAAAATTATTTATATAATAAAACATTATAATTATAAGTTTATAATATTATATGACACTAAAAGTATATAATTTTCATTCATATACTAATGTATGGGCATTGATGCATTATATTATGTTATGTATTAAATTTGCCTATTTTCATAAAGAAAAAAAGTGTTGGATAAGATTTCACCTTAAAAGGAGATTTCGAAGAGGAAGTTTATGAAATGGGAAGGGAAAAGAAAATTCCAACTCACTTTTCCTCCTTGCAATGCAAAAAGAAAGAAGGGACTTAGTCAACAACAATTCTACCACTTTGGTCGCTCATAAAATATTCAGATCTCCAAGAAAGAGAGAGGTTAAAGATTCATGGCACATGGTCATTTGTAATTAAAATATTGTTTTGTAAATCATTGTCATTTCTTTATTTAGCCCTCAAAAATGACTGAATACTATATGCTATAACTTTGTCAAACAATAGAAATTTAGAATTTTGGATTAAAGCCAGGCCGCCGGTCCGTCCCCATGCTCACTGCCGGCATAGGGGTCTGTCCTTGAAACCAATATCCCAACCACTTTTTTTTT